AATATCAAGAATAAGGATTTCAAGAACCTGGATTATATTAATTAGTATTTCGAATTAATTATTTTGAGAATTATATCACTTTATAATATTAAAGATAATATTACAGATTAATATAATTGTTTTTAATTTAGATATCCAGATCCTATAAATATTACTTCTATTATATCTAATATAATATCTAATATATATATAATAATTCAAATATTATTTGTATTTCGGAATATTTTTAATAAAAGAATAAATTTAATAATTATATAGAATAAAATAATTTAAACTAGACTTGGAAATTGGATTATTAAAATATTATTTAATAAAACCAATAGATATAAATTAATTAAAGGAATATATAAGAGATTTATTAAATAAATAAATAATTATAAAATATATTTCAAATTATAAAATCTCAAAAAGGTTTATTAATATTCTTATATTATAATCACAATCTATAATCACTTTTTCAAATCTCTTAATATCTCTATTTTAAACTTATATATATAATAATAAATTCTCTATAATTAAATTATATTTGATTTTAAATTCATTAAAATACTAAATAATTATTTCACTATTTCTATAAAATATCTATATTTTAAACCTATAATATCTCTTAATATATTTTAGTATATATTTAAAACAAGAAAGAAAATATTATTTCCCTATATCTAATAGATAATATATAAAATATATATAATTTATAAAATAAATAAAATAAAATATATAATTTTCATTATCTAATCTATTATTTATATTAATCAGATTCTAATATAACTTCCAGAATAGTATAGAATAATAGAATATAAAATAATAATAAAATATACTTTTAATATTATTAAAATAATACTCTTTATATTTTAAATCTAATAATAAAGATATTATAATTTTAATATTTTAATAGACAATTTCGAGCTTTTTCAAAGTTTCAGAATATAAATAATCTATAATTTTATATTACTAGTCTAATATATCCTCTTTAATTAATCTGGAAGTATATAAGAAATAGGCCTTGAAATTGACTAGTAATATTATAAAGAAACTCTCCGATTTCAATTACTCTAAGATTGAATTTTTAATATATTTAAGGATTTATTACTTAAACTATACGGATATATCTGTTTAGTAATAATAATTCCCTTAATTATTCTCCTATATTAGAGTATTTAAACAGTTATTCCAGAAGATCCCTTATTAATTCAGGAATTTGAAAGATATTATAAATATATAGAATAATAGAATATATATTATATTTCGAAATATAATAATTTAATTATTCGGGAATCCTTTAGTCTAAATAGTAATACTTATTATTCTATATAATTTAATAAATATTATAATATTACTAATAAAAATAATATTTTTCTTATCTTCTCGGGAAGGCTGAAATAAGTCAGGATTAAAGTATAATTTAGTATTCCCGATATTATAAATGAAATCTGAATTCAAGATAATATTATTTTCAAGGGAATAGTTAAGTCCTATTGAGATTTCAGGATTATTAAAAGTATTAAAGACTCCTATTCTAATTAATCGAATCGAAATATTATAAACTATTATATTAGTTATTAGATTCTCTTCTTTCTATTTCTTAATTCTAATTAACTTCAAGATTCCAAATAGTTCTATAATAGTAGGATTTAATATTATCGAATTTTATATCTTTTCCTGAAAATATTAAATTATATATAATTACTTATTTATTTATTTTATACCGGCTAGTATTTCGTTAATCTTTTTTTGAATATTGGAATTGGGATATTATCCGACTAGTTAATATTCTGGAATTAAGTAATTATAATTAGTAAAGAGATAAATTCTATTATAAAGATAGAATAATTTTATTATAGAATTACTATTCGAATCTATTCTTTGGAAGGAGACTGTAAATACTCTATAATAGACTAATAAGGACTATCTAGATATTTGAAAGTATATTAGTTTCCTTAATTCCTGAACTATATCTCGAAACTTGAGTTTTCGTGAGTCCTTCTCCGTAAAGCGGAATAGCTAGTAGTCCCAGTTATATAAGAAACTGAAATTAATATCGACTATTATTATAGTAAGGGTATAATAGGTATAGAGTCCCTGAACTTCGAGTAGCTTATATTTAACTACTTTATTATAGGCCGATTCGAGTTCTAATAATTATATTATAACTGCCATTCCATATTTTGGTTATTGAATTATACACTACCAGGCCCTGGTAATCTCATTTTGGTATACCTTATCTGAAGGGGTAAAGTGTTATTTGAGCTTCTCGAGTATTTCTTGAATAATATTACACTCTCGGGTATATTGGAGATTCCCATAACTAATTGTCTATTAAACCTTAGTTCGGAGCTCGTTCATGGCCTTAACCTTCGAATTATAGGTCTTGAACTTGTGAAGGTAGATACTCTAGAGTATTTATAGGTGGTTTTATTCTAATAAACTAAGGAAAGCAAAAGTAATAACTTCCGGCTCGTCTGGAGACAGGATATTATTCAGGGTATTAGTCTACGTGGAACTGGGTATAGTAACTGTCTTAATAGTTACAGATATCGGTTCAATGGATTCCTCGAGCGTTTTCAGATTGGCTAGAGGAACGGACGGGTTAACGAAGTCCCAAAGGTCTCCCGCCACTATCCGGATCACTTCAATCTATAGTAACCAATCCTTCTCCTCCTCCAGTATAACAGGAGTAACGATAATTACTTTCGAAGATATAATTGTGATTTCAGTAAATATTAATAATATACGAAACTTGTTCGACAGTCTGGTCGTTCAAGGGGTCTATTTGTACGGAGACAAGATATGGAAACTGTTTTCGATTCGAAATAAGTCTATTCGAAGGCGAATAACAGTCTGGTCGCGTTTTCGGTTCGAAATAAGTCAATTCGATACCGAATAATAGTAAGAAGTCACTGTAATTGCAAGCTCGTCGCAATGAAAGCTCGTAAATATGGGATTTAGAGCAAGGCCGGGCTCATAACTGACAGTTACAGTTACAGGGATATAATATATATAAGGTGAAGCTTGAAAAGTGAGTATATTGTAATGTCTGAAGAAGTTGTCTAAGGAGCCAAGTGGGCGACTGCTCGGGGAGCTTATATCCCACTGGAACAGCCTAATCCCCATCGGGAACGGCTAGTACTAAAGGAGAGAGGCACGTGATATCCAACTGACAGTATGCCCAATACTCTGTCTGGTCAATGCATATGGCTTGAAGAAGAGATCTGTCATAATTCGGGGTTTGATTTGGGCAATTAGCTTTGGATATCAAGATAGCTGGAAGAATTAAATTTCTTCTACGAATGACTACGTTGTCGGGAATAACTCTCAGACTTAATAGGCACTCAAATTGTTTATGATGATGATTTCCACAACCTTCGGTTCCTTTTCGGCCCCTTTTCTGTCTCTAGAGGAAGCTTGAAATGGTCAACCAACGAGCGCAACCCATTTGAGGAAATAATTTGGCACTCTCTTAAGAACAAAAATTACTAAATGCACAAAATAGAGTTTTTAAGCATGCCTTAACCTATGTATCATCTAAATCTCAGTGGTATATGGTAAAAATATTACTTTAAGGCTACAACTTGTTTTAATTTCTGTCGGGATGGCGGGGGAGCTTGCCGAAAGCCGAGTCGCTTTACGTGCTTCGAAAGCAACCTGGGTGTAAAGCGAGTCGCAACCGCTGTCCTCAGTTTGGATTTTGCACAGCCGAAAAGGAGTACAGAGTCTATGCATGTCGGAAGACAGGTTTAGCATGTTTCAAAGCTATAATAGTTCTAGTTCCGGGTTTCCTGGGACTTCACGTCTTGGAACGAGCTGCGAAGAAGGCAAGGAAGTCATGTTAAATGAATTGCTAATCAGGAGGGTTTGGCTTTGACACGTTGTTGACAACAACAGAGAATATGACAGTGCAAGTACTAGTCCTATCTTGCATTTCTGCAAATGTAAGATGCTTTTTTACCTCAAGGCTTTCTTTTCTTCTTTTATGGGGAGAAGGTAGGTGTATAATCTGTCGTTTACTTCCTGCAATAGGTCAGCCCAGGGGCCCAACGTCACCTTAGTGTCGTGCCTAGTTTCCTGAGGGTTTCTCCATGTGAGCCGCCTCGTCCCTTAATAGGCCATTTTTATATATTCCACCCTTGGTTTAAGTTATACATGAACACCATCAGGGCCAGTGACCACCTATGGTAGTATTCATCACTTCTTGATTTTGCTTTGGATCATTTCGCCGTACTCCTTTGCATATAGCCGCATATTATCTGCTTTCTCGCATTCATGTTTTTGCTCTGTTTGGAATCACTGCAGTTCCACAGCTGTTAGTTTCTCTTTCAAGCTCACGAGTTGGAATATTTGGAGGCAGATTGATGGTTCTTAGATTCAACAACCGTGACACAAGAAATGCTACTCTGCAGTCTTACTGGGGACTTGGCTTCGTAGCCAGCACTCCGGACAGCACTCACCAAAGAATTATCTCTCCAGTAAAAGAAGGAAAGTCGACTCTCAAAGCAGAATTTGCTCTGAGTTAGAAAAATTTCAAGTGGGCATTTCTTTTGTTGTCAGTCAGTCGAGATCGCTGCTCCTTTTATATTTTGTTGTCATATCTAGTTAGCCTTTGAGCAAGCCTCCTGAGTATTGTAGACTACAATTCTTACATCATTCTTTCTGGAAATTGGAGAAGTCTAAACGGATGTATTTAAAGTCGTCCATTTCAAGGCCTAGACGGATCGCTGGGAGGACTGTTTTGGTTGAATATTGTAGGGGAGAAGTTGGACGCTTCTTTTGGGCGGAAGCAAAAACAAATAGTATAATATTGAAAAGAGCAAAAATAATAATTAAAAGGTCTGCCAGATATTCTTCTGAACTCAATACCTACGTTTTCTCTTCTTCCCCCGCACCTACGGGCTAGACTAGCTCCAATGCAGGCATGTGATTGGCCGAAACTTCCCACAATGCATGCGGGTAATATGTATTCAAATAAGCTTATTTTTTGCTCAAAGCATCCAGTTTTTACAACTGGCCTGGTGGCCTAATGGTAAGGCGTTGCTTTCCGGTGGCAAAGATTGCGGGTTCGAGTCCCGTCTGGGTCGGCTCAACATTGGGGAGTAATCTCCTAACACTTTTGGACATATCTGGACTTTTTTTGCTTTTTTTTTGGAGTAATATAGTGTTTCGGGAGTTAACGGGAGTCAAGCGAGCTTAGGCGTCGCGACTCGACCCGACACCCCCGGAAACAATTTTTACTATACAGTGAAAAAACCTCTAACCATGCAAATGCCATTCTTTCAAACATTAACGCCTTTCAACTTCTAGTCTAACGAGATTTAAGGTGCTGCAATCCGAGGATTCTCGCGTCTCGTTAGCTAGTCGTTAACGATATGAGTAACCAAGAGCAGCACGCCCTGGAAACCTCGCGTCCAAACTCCTTTTCTCATATCCCCTATTCCCTATTCCCTATTATTTCTGTCCATCCACATCCTCGTTCGAATAATGATATTTCCGTCTGCACTCCGTTATGACTGGTATATGTGAATTTCTTGTGGTAAAGGTGTCAAGGCGTGAATGTGGTCGGAGAGAACGGAAGACGAGCTATCAAATATAGTAAGTACAAGTACATTTTCAGATCAAAGTAAGGTAGAGGACTTACAGCTTAAGTGTTCATGAGTTGTTGCGTTAAGTTGTTGTCTGAGTAATCAGACAAACAAATTTTCTCGCCAAAATCTATTACAGAAATTTTGAAGTTTTTGAGGCTTTAGATATTGCTGTCACTTGGGGTTGTGAGTGGTCAGAGTGGGAAGCAAAGTCTTGCCCCTTTAGCTAGGCGAGCCTTCTACACGCAAGACGGGCCCCAGCGACACTCAAGGACCAAAATTCAAGGAAAGAGTCTAGTGTCTTCTGTAACACAAATAAGAAAGAAAGAGGAACCAAAGATTCCTTTGCCTTGTTTAGAAAGATTTCTTGCATTTCCTTACATTCTGGCCTATTTTGAAAGAACCCCACCACGAGCCCACAGATCAAAAGCGGCGTACCTTTTGGTGGGGCAGCCGCAATCGACCTCTCCCACCTTTGATACGCTAGAACACAATCAGCCAAATGACATTACCAATCGTACAATTGGCTCGAGATATGTAGCTCCAGCTGGTCCCTGCAATTCAAAAGCCAGAGATGTACCTGGTCCGTAACGTTGCATGGCATTGAACCCGCGATCGGGCGTCGCAAGGCTGACCGTCTCAGAGGCGGAAGCCTAGGATTCGAGTTCAAAAGGAGATCGATACCTTCGAGAGTGCCCTCCAAACATCCGGCATTAAGACTAACAATGGCGCCTCACGCAGACTCTCCGGTTGACGATGGCGACTGCCTGCCGGCTCCTCCTCGTCCTGCGATGTCAGCGAATCCTCCTCGACTTCTAATCATAGGAGCGGGCTCACGAGGTAATGCATATGCCAGAGCTACCGCGGAATCGACAAACGGCATAACAGTAGCCGTGGCAGAGCCCATTGCGTACAAACGAAAGCAGCTTGGGGAGAAATACATTTGGGGCAAGGCACGACCTTCCGAGGGGCAGGAGTTCGAAGATTGGAAAGCCTTTTTGAAATGGGAGCTAGAGAGGCGTGCGAAGGCCAGCAGAGGAGAGGAAGTAACGGAAGGAGTTGATGGGGCTTTCATCTGCGTCCTCGATGAACAGCACAAGGAGGTCATTGTTGGGTTGGCACCACTCGGTCTGCATATTATGTGCGAAAAGCCTTTGGCTACCACCTTAGACGACTGCGTCTCGATATACAAGTCTCTACTCCCGAATCATCTAAATACTACGCCATCGACTATTTTTTCAATTGGACACGTCTTGAGATACAGCCCGCATAACATGTTATTGAGAAAGCTACTCTTGGAGGATAGGATCATTGGAGAAATCGTATCAATCAATCATACAGAACCCGTTGGATGGTGGCATTTCGCCCACAGCTATGTTAGGTATACATCTATGTCACAAACTCTGATATCTACCACTAACGAACGGCAGAGGTAACTGGCGAAGAGAATCTACAACAGCGCCATCCCTCCTCACCAAGTCCTGCCATGACATCGATGTCCTTCTTTGGTTACTATGCTCCCCACCACCAGGCTCTAATAAGCCAGCTCACATACCAACAACTGTCACTTCGGTCGGATCTCTGCAATACTTCAACAAGACTCGAAAGCCCACTGCAGCTGGCAACGCCACAAATTGTCTTTCTTGCCCCATCGAGACCTCCTGCAAGTACTCTGCGAAGAAGATTTACCTAGGCTCTGAGCTCAAGGGGCTCGGATCAGGTAACACTCACTGGCCCGTTCATATTGTGGTCCCAGAGATTGAGGAATGCATCTCTGTCGGTGGTCATGCAGCAGGCGAAGCCGCTATCATGAAGAGACTCGAGGAGAACTATACCAGCGATACACCCGATTCAGAAGTTGCAGCCAAGAACTGGTTTGGCCGTTGTGTTTACGAGTCAGACAACGATGTGTGTGATGAGCAAGTTGTGGCAATGAGCTGGGACAATGATCCTCTCCCCAAGATCAGTGGTGACAACGAGAAAGCTCTCGTTGGACGTGGGGCCAAGACCGCAGTCTTTCATATGGTCGCTCATACAAAGCAAATTTGTGACAGATATACAAATATTTACGGCACTGATGGAGAGATCTATGCCGATAGTCATACCATCACTGTAGAAGATTTCAATACTGGCGCAAAGAAGATATACAGACCGTTCGTGGCAGGTGGTGGCCATGGTGGTGGCGATGATGGGCTTGCCAGGCAGTTCATCCTTGCTGTGGATGCTGTTAAGAATCACGGCGCCAGCGTTGAAGACGCTCAACGTGAACATGTTGGTTGCAGCTTGGAAGAAGTCATCAGAAGTCATGCAATGGTCTTCGCCGCTGAGCAGGCGAGGCTGCACAGGAAGGTGCTGGACTTTCCCCAGTGGTGGACTGAGAATGTTGAAGCGCGCCTGGCCAAGTCTTGATTCTGGCATTTAGCGCTGAGTATCAATGCAATTCTTAATCGTGCAATGAATTTACAACATTTTATTCTTTTTTGTACTTGCTTTCCGTGTTTCTGTCCTCTGTCTCGTATATCCTGGGTCCCAGGTAAAGTGTAGCCACCCACGTGACTACTTACACCTCCCCACGTGAATGGCGCTTCTTTGCTTTTCCTCCTTGACTTTCGGTTTCAGCGCTTAGCCCCTTGATCTTAAGAACAATTGCATTCTCTAGAATCATCTCCATAGTACGATCTGCACACAATACAACAAGATGTCATCAGGCACTGAAAATTTTCGCTACACCACAATAGATCCTGCTCACAAGGAGTTCCGGCTTCTCCATCTCGCACCCCGCTGCACAACTGCCTCGCAGGATGCCACGTCTTCGCAACAGCCCAACAAACCAATTTCATGTACCTTAGAGAAAGTTTCACTTGAAGACTCTCCAAAGTACTCCGCGCTATCCTATCGCTGGGGCGGTACTGGCCGACAAATCCTGGTCAACGAGAAGCCCTTTACCGTCACAAATAAACTTGAGATTGCTCTCCAACATCTGCAAAAAGATTCGGATCCACTGACTCTCTGGGTCGACGCCATATGTATCAATCAGCAAGACACAGAAGAGAAAATGCAACAAGTGCGGCAAATGACCGATATCTACCGGAGTGCGAGCCAAGTGCTCATCTGGTTGGGACCTGCAGCAGATGGGAGTGATCAGGTGATTAATTCCCTACAGTTAATCAGCCAAGTGTTTCAAAGACAAGATCTCAGCAATCACATTAAGTCAGTCAAAGGCATGAAGTCACTCAAAGGATCCACCGCATGGAAAGCGCGAGCAGACCTACTGACTGACATAATAAACGATTTGGAGGTCCAGGGCGATTATCCAAAGGATCTTCAAGCGATTTCAACTCTTGAGAACGAGTTCAAGAACCTTGACTCCCCGTTCCTGGACTCTTTCCCGGCTGCTCAATACAGAAAGCTGTGCCATCGTGAGTGGTGGACCAGGACCTGGGTCATTCAGGAACTTTGTGTGCCAAAAAAGCCCATATTCGTTTGTGGAAAAAAGACGATAACCTATTCTGAGCTTTCAAAGTGCGCCAATTTCTTCAGGGAATATTGGACAAGTGATTTCCAGAAACGCAAGAGGGACCGCAATTCCAATGAAGAACCTGATCCCAATTTGATCTTGAGTACTTCTTCCAGCCCAGCTGATGTCATGATGTCCTTCCGCTCTAGCTATCAAAAATCGAAAGGAGAATGCACACTATATACTCTCCTACGAAATATATGCAACAAGGCGACGATTGACGCTGAGGACCAGCGAGACAAAATCTATTCTCTACTTGGATTTGCCTCTGACAAAGATACCCTAAACATCCGCGTCGACTATGGGAAGAATTATTCCTGTGAAGATGTGTATATCGATACCTCTAGAGCTTTGATCAATCAAGGGCATCTAGACCTCCTATTCCTGCGTCAAACAAGCAAATCTCCGGCCCTTCCATCTTGGGTCTGTGACTGGGGTGCGGAAATCCACGAGCCGTGGGGCAACTCCTGGGGTGTCAATCCCTTCACTGCATCCGGCTCATCGACTCCGGAAGTCCACACCTATACTACGAACAACGGCCAGCACATAGCATCTATCCGTAGCAAGCTCATAGACACCATCACATCAATCGCTACGCCAGTCCCGAAATTTGACCCCGACTCCGACACTTCAGACGCACTCAGCTTCTTCATCTCTGAAACTCGACGAATCCTTGGTCCGCTCTCAGACGAGGATATGGCTGCTGTCCTCGCGGGTGGCATCGAATACGCTGACTGGGACTACAAGTCTGGCACCATGTTCAAGTACTTCGACAAGAAATCCTGCAGATCTCTCCAATGCTGCCGGACTACCTCGAAATCGACGGAGGGCCTCAAACTCCTAGAGAAGTGGCTTCCGGCACAGAAGGAGTTTCGAGAACTCATGCGGCTCGAGGCGATTCAGGCTACGGATGAGACGAAGAGGAGGTGGGAAGTTCTCCTGCCACATATAGATGAGCTGCAACAATTCAAGAGCGGCATCA